AGCTATAAAACAAGGCTACCTCATAGGCTTGCTATGAGGGATAAATGGGAAATGGCTGTAAAGACCCAGCACAGTAGCTCACATGTAGTCAAGGCTCATTTGTGCTAGCTATTGTTTTACTATTACAAGGTGGTTGGTCTAGAGCAAGGATTCTTCAAAATTCAGAGGATAAATAAACTTCAGTGGAAAATGTTACATCTCCGTTTTCAGCAACCGTTAACTGAAATTCAGATTTCCTGCAATTACAGATGCAGAGAACAGACCGCGGTAGTATTAGCACCTGTGACTTTGTCGCTGGTGGCAATCACAGTTTTAGGTCACGTTACTGTTCTTACAGTATTGTATTGTTCTTCAATACTTGTTACACTCATTACTTGGAAGTTACCATGGTTATCATAGCTGCATCTAGATCTTGGCATTTACTACATGAATAACAAGCACTTTTATAACTATATCACAACTTCCTGTTTTTGGTCTTTGGATAATGGCATAACAATGTAAGATTTCATTCATTCATTTATTTGAGAAAGAGAGAGCCCTAGCAGGGGGAGTGGCAGAGGTAGAAGCAGACTCCCGGCTGAGCAGGGAGCCTGATGCAGGGCTCGATCCCAGGACTCGGGATCATGACCTGAGCCGAAGGCAGATGCTTAACCGACTGAACCACCCAGGCGCCCTGGATAATGGCATAATTATGTGATTGATTTCCTTTGTAATCCTACATATTCTATTTTACGTATCTAAAGACATTGTTCTGAGAAGGGGTCCACAGGCTTCACTATACCATCAAGGTTGTCCTTGGCACAAATAAGTTTAAGAACCCCTGATCCAGGTTTTAAAACCCTTGCTGGCTATAACAATCTACAAATCTGTGATGAACAATTGTGAAAAGTTTCAGGAAGGGTAATCTGCTTTCTCAGCGAAGAAAGGTGAACAAAATTGAATTGCGAGGGTAGGGAAATGGGATTGCCTGAAAATCACTGTTTGTGCGCCTTACCTTGAACCTAGCTAGACTGCAAATGCCTAGATATGCTGCATAACCTCTCTGTGCCTTAGTTTCCCCGTCCCTTAAGTGAGGATGTTAGTATCTAATTCGCAGGATCGTTGTGATAAATGAAACTGGATGGTGCCACGTAAAGCACTTAGCAAGGTGGCTGGCACATAGGAGGTGATCAAAAATTCAGCTATTAGAGTATTAATTATTATACCAGATTTGCCAGTATCCTTCCTGGCTTTCCACAGTACAAATACAAATCTTTAAATATGTTAGTAAATCGTTGATGGCAACCTTTTTTTTTTTTTGAGGGTGCAATCTTCTTAAAAACAGCTGTCATACTTTGTAAATGTTTGATAAACCCATCATTACAAAGTCACCTAATTATTAAAGGCACACGCTTCCAAGTCAGAAAGCTGTGGTGGGTTCAAATTCGAATGTCTGCCCTATGACGTATGTGACCTGAGAGCTTTTTTACCTTTCCCAAGCCCATTTCATCACCGGGAATTTCGTACCTGTTTCACAGGGTTGTCATGAGGCTTAAATGAAATAATATATGTAAAGTGCCTGGCATGGGATGCCTGGGTGGCTCAGTCCCTTGAGCGTCTGCCTTCGGCTCAGGTCATGATCCCAGGGTCATGAGAAGGAGCCCTGTGTGGGGCAGGTTCCTTGCTCAGCGGGGAGCCTGCTTCCGCCTCTGCCTGCCGCTCCCCCTGCTTGTTCACTCTCTCTCTCTCCGACAAATAAATAAATACAACCTTTAAAAAAAAAAAGGAAATAGAAAAAGCTTTAAAAAGTAAATAAATAAAGTGCCTGGCACATAGCAGAGACTAAATAAATGATACCTATCCCTTTTTAAAAAGATTTTATTTATTTATTTATCTGAGAGAGAGAGAGAGAGTGCAAGCAGGGGGGGAGCCGAGGGAGAGAAGCAGCAGAGGGGGAGGAAGAGCAGAGGGGGAGGGAGAGGGAAAGAATCTCAAGGAGACTCTGCGCTGAGCTCGGAGCCCGCCCCCACGGGGCTCCTTCTCATGACCCTGAGATCATGACCTGAGCTGAAACCAAGAATCAGACACTTAACCCTTAACCCACTGAGCCACCCAGGCACCCCCTATCCTTTTTAACAGTTGCCAAATGCATGGCCAACTTGTGAAGTGAGAGGACCCCCGTCACGTCTCACGAACCCCTCTAAGACCTGGTCCCTCATCCCTTTCCAGCCTAACCTCTCAGTATTCCATCTCTCATCTTGTTCTCCCAGGACACCGACCTGCTTTGTAATCCACACCCGCCCCCCCCCAGCATACCTGCTGCCCTCACCAGTCCTCCCCTGCCCCTGTTCTCTGCTCTCTCCACCTAGATTGCCCCTCCCTCCTTCCAGAGCTGACACCTTCTCCATGCTCCCATGGCACTTGGTCCCACAAAACACCAGGCCTCCATCATCACTGCCCATTTGTACTGTTTTTGTCTGTTGATGTATCTGTTTTGCCAGCGAGGCCATGAGTTCTTTGAGGGCCTGGGCTGTGTCTTATTTACCTGGGAATCTGCACTAACACCATGCCAGGCATAGGCCAAGTGCAGAGCAAGTGACTCTTGAATGATCCCATCTGAGAACGAGATGCCCTTTGTCTTCCCTTTCTGCTCCACCCAGAAATCCACCACCAGCTGCGAGTAGAAGTGCCCCCCACCTCTGCTCTCTGGGTTTACACAAGAGCATTTTGTAGCTTGGGGTGTCTCCATCGAACACAGTATCTGTGAGCAAAGGGAGGCCTCCCAGAGAGGAGCCAAGGGGGTCCTGCCCAGTCAGCCTTCCCATGGAGGTATACCATGTGTCAATACAAGCTGGACCTGTATGCAAACACACGGTAGATTTCGGACCCTCTCTCTGAACTATCCAGATTTTTCTATATCTAAGTTATATTTGCTCTTGACCAGCCTGGATATAGTATGCAAAGCTGCACTGAATTATTAACAACACTGCTCGAGAGCAAGGACTACAACAAGGGAAATGTCAAGGGGACAAAATCTTGAGTTTAATGGTGCCAAATGCCAAGAAGGAAATACTTCCACCAGGGCCTCGTCCCAAGGTTATGCACCAAGATAAGAGGACTCAGGCAAATAGAGAAGCAAAAGGCCCCAGCAGTTCTCAAAACACAACTTAGGTAAACATTTATGGAGCTAATACATTTTGTTATAATGTTTAACATAAAATAATTATAAACAAGAGGGAAAATCATAAACACCGTAATTAAAAAACAATTCAGTAGGCTATAAGTCTGCACAATGCATATGAAATTTCATATTCTACTATACCTCCTCTGGCTTTTACCCAAGAACATTAAAAAAAAAAAAAGGCAGGGAAGAAGAAGAAAAGGGGGGAGGCGATTAACGCATCTAAACTGTGAGAGCATAAGGACCGTGCTCTCAGTTCTGCAGGTCTGGTCAGTGACCTCCAAAAGCCTCTTTATTTCTGATCCTGGGATCTTGTCGGGAGCTAGGGATACAGCTAGTTTCTGGTTTTCTGGCCTCTACAGCAGAGAGAGCACTGCCCTTCCTTCTTCTTCCCCCGGCCCTTCCATTTCCGCAAGTCGTAGGGCCCCCACACAAGACCCACAGGGCCCTGGGAAACGGGAGTTATTTGGCTGCCCTTTGCTCCTAGTCACAGGGCTGCTGCTTGTGGTACCCAGAAGGAATTTCAAATGTATGGAAAGCCCAATCTGCAGGGACTCAGGCAAGTGAAGCTCCCCGAGAAAGAGGGTGGCTCTGGCCCTGACTGGCGTCCGGGTGTTCAGGTCGGGCATGGGGGCCCCCTTTTCGCGTAATGGATCTGCCTCCGTTTTCCTCCCGCTCACAGAACCAGTGCAGTGTGGATTCCACTAGGAGGCACCTCTGTGGTCTCCCAGGGATTGAACTCCGTGACCGAGGCAGGGAATGTTCCAGGGTTGAAACACAAGATGGCAGTATACGCTACTCTATTGCGAGGGCCCCGGGCTTGTGGGGGGAAAAAAAAAAAAAGCGTGCCGGAGGGGGGTGGGGAGCGCGGACTGAAACTGAAATCCATTTGAGTTTTATGTGAAAACTGAACATCATGAATATTTGGAATTTTTTTTCAGGAGCCAATAATTATTGAATCCTCCCCATTTCAGAGTATTCCAATTCCCCGAGTCTTGAGCCACCCTGAAAGCCTACACTTGCCCACCCAGCCCTTGCCCACATCTCGCAAAGCCCGCGGGGGTATGACCCGAGGAACCAGCCTGCCTTGCTCTCCACGGATTTGACCTTTCACCTTTCCTCGGCCCCAGAATCACCCTCTCCTCCGAGTCAAGAACCCCTCCGCTCGCAGTTTCACGCCACCCCCAGTGCCCATGAGCATTTCCTCACCACAGCTCTGGAAAGGGTGAGGACAGAGACGAACTAAGGTGGCAGGCGGGGATCGGAAAAAGGGGGGCGGCAAGCTTGGGAAAGTAGGGGAAGATAAGAGAAAGGGATAGACCTGAGCAGAGAGCGGGGGTGCTGAGGCGAAGGACGCGCGGGGGGGAATCGAATGAGGGAAATGAAAGGGGCAGAAAGAAAACGGGGGGAGAAGACGGGGAACGGGGGAGAAGAGCGGGAATGGGGGAGAAGAGCGGGGAACTGGGGAAACGCAGAGAAGGAGAAAAAAGAAATAAGGAAAGGGTGGCAAGAAAGAAAAGGAAGAAGAACGGAAACGGGTAAAGAAAGAAATACGGAAAAGAAAGAAAATGAAAGAAAGGGAAAAGAGTGGAGGAGAAGCGCCCAGAGACGGAAGGGCAAACGGAGACGCGAGCCCAGGGAGGGAGAAGGGGCAAGGCAGCGGGAAGCCGCCCGGGGAGCTGGCATTCCCGGAAGCCCGGGCAGAGATCGCCTCTGATGGGGTTCGGGGAAGAGAGGAGAGCGCGCGTGGGGGAAAGAAGGGAAGATCAGTGAGAAGGGGGCAGAAACCGAGGCGAGTTTGCGCGTGCTTCCGTGAGTTTTGTTTAAGGCATTCCCCGGGGCACCGCGAGAGCGTGCCGGGCACTCTCAGACTCCCCGCGGGGACAACCGTCTCTCTGTCGGCGGACCCCTTCCCTCCCCGCCTCGGCGAAACAGGCTCGTGGCAGGGCGACGGTTTAAGGCAGCGACGAAACGGGCTTGAGCGGGCGGCGTCTCTCCTGCAGGGGGATCCGTCCTCGGTGGGACGCCAAACATCTGCCCTCCCGCGGCGCTCGAGACCGGGGTGGCGCGGCGTCCCCGGCCGGCCGCGAGTAGATTCCTGACGGAGGATGCGCCCTGAGCGGCCAGAGAGCCCGAGCGGCGGCGCCGGGCGCGCGGACGGGGGGAGAGCCGGGCCGGGTTCCCGGGAGCGCGGGCAAGGGTGCGAGCGGCCGTGTGGGTTGCGAGGGTGCGGGCGGTGGGGGCGGGGGTTGGGGGGGGGCAGGACCCAGGCGGCCGCCGGGGAAGCGGCGGAACAGCGTTCTCCGCCGGCCCCCCTGGGGTAATTTACATGCTGTCACAGCCCCGTGCTGACTCCTGGCTCACTGGCTCCCTCGCTCCCTCGCTCTCGGCTCCTGCCACCGCTCAGCCGGCACAGCCCAGGGGAGCCCGAGAGCGGGAGAGCCAGCGAGCCGGGGAGGGAGGGAGCAAAGGAGGGAGGGAGCGAGGGCGCGCCCCGGCTCTCCCTCTACCCTGCTGCCCGCCCTTCCTGCTGCCACAGGTCCGCCGAGCCCCACTCACACTTGGGAAACTTGGGACTGCGCTAAGGCCGCGAGTGGCACCTGGGGGGGGGGGTCAGCCCCAGCCTCTGGAGGAGGGGGAGGAGGAGGAGGAAGAGGAGGAAGTGAGCCCGAAGGATCCGCTCAAAGCTGTTTGTCCAGCTGTTTCTATTCGCACCCAGAGCAGCACAGCCAGGAGGGGGCCGAGCCGAGCCGAGGGTGGCTGGCTTTGGGCGCTAATTTCCAACTCTTCTCACAGCTTGTGTTTTCCAGACACCCTGGAGTCCCCTCAGGCTAGCCCGGCGGGCGCGCACCTGCCAGCCGACCCTGACCTCGAGGGCCAAGCGGCCCCCGAGCCTGAGAAGATGGCCCAGCCCAAGACCGACTGCCGCTCACCTGTCGGTCTCGACTGCTGCAACTGCTGCCTGGACCTGGCCCACCGGAGCGGGCTCCAGCGCGACAGCAGCGGAGAGAACAACAACCCGGGCAGCCCCACCGTGAGCAACTTTCGGCAGCTGCAGGAGAAGCTAATCTTCGAGAACCTCAACACCGACAAGCTCAACAGCATAATGCGGCAGGATTCGCTAGAGCCCGTGCTGCGAGACCCCTGCTACTTGATCAATGAGGGCATCTGCAACCGCAACATCGACCAGACCATGCTCTCCATCCTGCTCTTCTTCCACAGGTGGGTGGCTGGGCATACGGGTGGGCACGCAGTCCCGGCTGGCGCCGTTCTCTCCTGGACCCTCACCTCTGACGGAAGGGGAGTCCGGGTCGTTCACGGGGTGGGGGGGGGGGAGAGGAGAGCCCTGGGGAGGCGGGGCTCCGGGTGGCCGCGACCTGACTCGGACCCTTAGGCTACCTGGAGTCCGGTGGGGCAGAGGGGAAGCCCGGCAGGTGGGAGCCCTGTTTTGAAGGGTGCCCGCAGAGACTTGCCTAGGGAAATACTGGAGTCCAGGAGGTGGGCAGAGCCCTAGATCGGTTTGGGGGTAGCCGGCGGCACCCCCTCCTCAAATGCGCACGTTTCCGCCGCCGTTTTGGAGATTCTGCCACGGGATGCTCCTGGGATCTGAGTTCCACCCTTCTCAGAAGCCCATTTCTAAATGTGCAAACTCGGATTGAAATTGCAAGGGCTTTTAAATTACCGAGTGGCCCTGACGGACAGCGAGGGCAAGCAAAATGTCAAGACAAATTAAGCTGCTGCTGATATGGGGGAGGGTGAAGAATAAGAAAAAATAGACATGTGTGAGAATTTTTTGAGACTCTGGATGGGGGTACCCCCACCTCCTCCGTGGATCACGGCCTTCAATATCCAGTGATGGCTAAAAGCAGCCCCAGAGAGAGCATCCTGGGACCGGTGGGTGGATGAACCCCTGTCTCTGCAGCTCTGTGTCGGAGTGCGGTCAGACTTTCTAGAAATCCTGCTGAAGGGCAGGGAAGGGAGGGGGAGGGGAGAAACACAATGGGAAGACCCGAGGTGGCTGCTGTCCTCCAGTCTGAGACCCTGGTAAGAGCCAACTGAGGCAGTTTTGAGGCAGGGGAAGCAGGACACCCAGGTTTGGTGTTCTTAGAACCATGAAGACAGGACACTGGGGTGTGTGTGTGTGTGTGTGTGTGTGTGTGTGTGTGTGTGTGTGTGTGTGTAAGCGCACGCGTGTGGGGTGGATCTTATTCTCTCTCAACAACAGAGGTTATGTAAGAGAAGGAGAACCCTGCTGTGGGAGACCAGGGTTTTGGTCCGAGTTACAGCTCCACCTCCGTGTGCAAACCTGAGCGAGGTCCCTGATCTTTCTGGTCTCTTAAGGTTCCTTGTACTTCTAAGATTCCAGGTTGCGGGCAGGTGGCGTGTTGAGCCAAGGTAGTAAGGAATTTTGAGCACCCACAGACTCTTTGAATCATTGGGTGGCTTTGTGAAGCACACATAGGAAATTTTCAAAGCAATCCCCCTGGCAGGAACTGCCCTCACTTGGTGCTAAGACCAGGTTTGCCTCCGAAGCCCCACAAGCGGGGCTGCCAACTTCGTTAGCATTATCCGAACAAGGCATTTTCCAGGCGGTCAAAGCCCTTTCTCATTTATTGTTTCGCATGAGGCAGCAATTGTCTCAAAGGAACCAGGCCGCACACGGAACAGGTTTCCGGGGAGTCTTTCTGGTGAAAGATTACTAGAAGTGTATTCACACCACAGATACCGGCAGCCCCTGCCCAGCTAAAGCCCTAACAGGCTCCTAACAATCCTGCACCGCATGGTAGGAGAGTGGTGGTGGGGGAGGGGTGGCAGAAAAACCTGGAAAGAGCGCCTGTAGCATTTGTACTCTTTCTATGGGGAGAGAAACTGCCCCGAAATGGCCTTGCTGAAGTTTAAGAGGGGATGCTTTCTCAGCTCTGGTTCCTAGGTTCAGGGCCTAGGAGGGTTGGCCCTAGGTGAGTGAGGTATGAGGCTGAGAGCCTGAGATCGGTGTTGGCTTGCCCCACACCTTGGGATGTTTCCTGGTTGTCTGGGTTTCTTGAATAGAAAAATCTCCTTCGGCACCTACTCCCATTGACACCTGCCTGTTGACGCTTGGTTCTTGGCAAAGCCTGGAAATACTATGGGTTGGGGGTGGGGGTGCTGAGGGCATTGGTCGATCGAGGGAGCAGGGTGAATGGTTGAGAAGGTGTGCCTGAGTCCTCTGCCTCCTGGAACCAGAGCAATTCAGTGTCCCAAACAGCTGAGCAGCAAACCAGCAAACCCTCAGGCTTCTGTGAGGCTGGAAGGTGACAGGGTTCTATGGTAACAGCCCCAGAGTTCTAGAAGGATGAAGCATTGTCTCAGTTTCCTTGACCTTTCCTGAGACCTTAGAGATTGGAGATTCTGAATGTGGTTTAGGTTTTGCCCGGAAGGACATGGTCCTTGGCAAAGTAGAAGACCATTATTGCTGGTCATAGGACTTCTCTGGTATCTGAGCTGGACAGCCTTCTCCAAAGTGAAAATTTCCTTTCTTACTTCTTTATTCCTTGGGCATCTGTCTTCAAAACTCAGCCATCCCTTTTACTTTGGTTCCACTTAATGATTTGATATTTCAGATTCCCGCCTGGGTGTCCTTTTCCTTTAATTTGTTGACTTTCAAGGCTGCTTGATCTAGAAAAGCAACTCTCCTGCCTCTCCTCCTGCAGCCCACTCCCCTGCTGCCAGGGCTCCTGTATTCCAGGGAGGAAGGGTGGGGCACATTCTTCATTTCTATCTGGTTTGTCTACTTTGACCTGCCCCCGGCTCCTGGCTTAGTTCTTGGAATCCTTGGATCACAAGAGTGTAAGCAATTTGAGGGTAGGACCGTGTTTTACAGTCACTTGGTTTTCCCTCGGCTTCTTGTTAGACAGCCAGTACTCAATAACTGTTTTTTTGTTTGTTTGTTTGTTTGTTTTAACTAGATGACTGCTTAATTATTGGTGTGGTCCTCTGTAAAGATTTTACAACTTTAAACTAGTCTTGGAAAATCCTTATTAATATTTAAGTGTGACTTCTGTTGTTTGAACCACATGCATTTACTCCTAGCCTGGTAGAAGTCCCAATGGACAGTGCTGTGTATATACCTATGAATAAGTGGTAATGGGCACACAGCTTGTTCGTATATAAAGGTGCCTCTAAAATACTGGGTGAGGGGAAGATGTTTTATTTTTTTAAAGATTTTATTTATTTGAGATTGAGAGAGAGAGTTCACAAGCAGGGAGGGGGGGGCAGAGAGAGAAGCAGACTCCGAGCTGAGCAGGAGGGAAGATGTGTTTTAAATGCCATCCCTTAGGGGTGCCTGGGGTGGCTCAGTCAGTTACAGGGCTGCCTTTGGCTCAAGTCATGATCTCAGGGTCCTGGGATGGAGCCCCACATCCTCAGGGTTCCCTGCTCAGCAGGGAGCCTGCTTCTCCCTCTCCCTCTGCCCCTCCCCTCCACTCGTGCTCTCTTTCTCTCGCAAATAAATAAAAATCTTTAAAATAAATAAATAAATACCATCCCTTCAATCTTGTGTTAGGTAACTAACAACAATAATAGATTAATAGCTAACATTTACTGAACATTTACAATATGTACTAAGCATTCTATCTGTATAATCTCACTTAATACTTACACCAACCCAATGAAATGGGTACTGTTGTCACCCTTCTTTCTTTTATAATAAAGGAAATTGAAGCTTGGGAAAATTAAGTAACTTGCCTGATACCTCACAGCAAAGAGCAAAGCCAAAACTCCGCCCAAGATCAATCAGACACTAAAGAATTGTCTGTGAAGAAAGAATTGTTAAGCAGAGGTAAATATTAGCCCAGAAACTAATCAAGTGGTTAAAATGTCCTTACTAGGTAGGGTGACCAACCCTCCAGTCTGGGGAAACAAGACTTTCAATGTTCAAACCAGGACAGTCCGAGGGAAACTGGGATGGTTGGTCACCCTTTTATTCAGGGACACTGCCTTATCATTTGAATATGCTTCTAAAACTGGAAAACTTAGGAGGCAGACAGAATATACTGGGCAAACAGCTAAAATTTCCGATTTAAATGTAGCCTATGAGGGGCACCTGGCTGGCTCAGCCGGTAGAACATGCGACTCTTGATCTCAGGGTCGTGAGTTCAAGCTCCACATTGAGCATGGAGCCTACTTTAAAAAATTGTAAAAAAAAATAAAATAAAATATGGGGCACCCAAGCGGCTCAGTCGGTTAAGCGTCCAATTCTTGATTTCAGCTCAGGTCATGATCTCAGGGTCCTGAGATGGAGCCTCATGTCGGGCTCCGAGCTGGGCATGGAGCCTGCTTGAGATTCTCTCTCTCCCTCTCCCTCTGCCCCTCCCCCTTCTCATGCTCTCTCTCCCGCTCTCTCTCTCTCAAATAAATAAATAAATCTTTTAAAAAAATTAAAATAAGTGTAGCCTATGAAAAAAACTTGTAAAGTTGACATTTGAGGGGCCTTAATTCTCTGATCAGTAAGGTGTAGCGAGCTGGAACGGGAGCTTTTGCCATAGTCTGTTATTGTCATTGATATTGTAACCTCAAATATATTTCTAAGATTTTATCCAAAGCGTCTCAATCAGCTCTGTTCTGCCTGTGGCCCCCAAGTGCACCTGCCCAGTGTGGCCTGAGACACTTTGAATCGAAGTTTGCTTCTGGCTCTAAAAGCCCTCGTTGTCTAACTTTAATAAGCTTCTAGCTGGCAACAACTGGTTCCCACACTTAGATGCTCAGAAAATAATAATAACAGGGTGCCTGGGTGGCTCAGATGGTTAAGCGTCTGCCTTCGGCTCAGGTCATGATCTCCAGGTCCTGGGATCAAGCCCCACATCGGGCTCCCAACTCAGCGGGAAGCCTGCTTCTCCCTCTCCCTCTGCCTCTCCCCCTGCTTGTGCTCTCTCTGTCTCTCTCTCTTAAATGAATAAATAAAGTCTTTTTTAAAAACAAGAAAACAATAATAGCAAAAATGTCAAATTGCTTTGCATATACTAATTCCTTTAACTTTCCCTATTGAGTTGATATATAGCAGCAAGGGGAAAGATAGGAGATTCAGAGATCAGCTTGCCAAGAAAAATTCGCATACAAATGATTTGGGCTTCTCTACATGAGTCTTAGAACTAATGATTTTAATAAGTGTATGTTCCTGGATTTGACCTCCGAGGGCGTAGCCACTTACATGGTGTGATTTGAGGCGCAAAACGACTCTCCTACCTGCCTGCAGTAGTGTCTAAATTCATACTCTAAGATCCAGTTTGACATCCATGTACCATCTAAAACTCCTCTTCCAGGGCACCAGTGGTATGCAGACCACACCGTGAGAAACCCCGAATTCGAGATTGCAACCCTTTGTCAACTAATTTGCCATTTGATTTTGAGGATGGAGTTTTTTTTTCCTGTAGTGAGGTTTTGGGTTTCTATGTGGTTAAGCCTGTCATTCTTTGCCTTTGTGATTTTTTCGCTTTTGGTATCAAGCTTCGAAAGTCCTTCCCTCGCCCAAGGTAATTTAAAATAACTATTTCCTGAGTACCTAGTGGTCTGACAAAGAATAGGCACTCTTGGATTAAGGCACATTCCCTGTTAACAACACAAATGCATCTGCAAACTTCACAGTCATGGGCTCAATGCCTCATGAGAATCTCAGCATGTAAGAAGTTGTCTTTTTCTTGAGGCACAGATGTGAATTCCATGTGCTAAGAGGCTTTCACTGGTGTATGTATGTGATATTTGTATGTATGATATATATGTGTTTTATGTATGTATATGAAGTAGGTAAGTAACATATACATACATAGCTGTAAAATGTATATAACATAAAATTTGCTGTTTTAATCACTTTGAAGCAGCCAATTCAGTGGTATTAGGTACATTCACGAACTTGCACAACCATCACCACCATCCATCTCCAGAACTCTGTCATTGCCCCAACAGAAACTCTGTACCTATTAAACACTGACTCCCCATCCTCCCCTCCCCCCCCCAGCCCCCGGTAACCTCTATTCTACTTTCTGTCTCTATGAACTTGTCAGCTCTAGGGATTTTATGTAAGTGGAACCATACCCTATGTGGCCTTTTGGATCTGGCTTCTTTAACTTAGCATAAGGTTTTAAAGGCTCCCCCACGTTGTGGCATGTGACAGTACTTCATTCCTTCTTAATGACTGAATAATATTCCATTGTGTGGATCAACCACATTTTGTTTGACCACTCACCCGTCCACGGACACTTGGGTCGCCTCCACCTCTTGGCTGTGGTGAAAAATGCTGCCGTATACACTAGTGTACAGGCATCTTTTTGAGTCCCTGTCTCTTTGGGGAGAACACCCCCCTCCCTGAGTGAGCAGCTAGGGTTGGTGATTACAATTAAAAGAACTCTAAAAAGTTTAACGAAGTGATGGAAATAGAAGTGTTATAGGGGAAACAGTGGGCTTTTGGTATGCTCATGAATCAGGGGCTAGCAAAGGTTTTAGGGTGCCCCTTTCATGAATGGCCAGGGGCTACCATACCTTTTAGCCACATTTGACATCATTACTTATCTTTGACTACTTTGTGTGGATTTATTTATCAGACCTTCTTTCAGGGAGGCGACTCACTGGGAGTAGGGTTCTATGGGAGTGACACATGGGAAGGCCAAGTTTGGAGAAGAGAGGTAGAGAGGCAAGGCTGGCGTCCATGGAAGGCCCACTGCAGCATGGGGCTCTGGGCAGCATGGGAGCTGGGGAGGTGTAGCTGGAGGGTTTGTGGTCTTAAAGAAAAGGGGGGGCGCACCTTGGTGGCTCAGTCAGTTAAGCGTCTGCCTTTGGCTCAGGTCATGATCCCAGGGTCCTGGGATCGAGCCCTGCCTCAGGCTCCCTGCTCAGTAGGGAGTCTGCCTCTCCCTCTCCCTCTGCCCCTTCCCCCTTGCTTGTACGCTCTCACTCTCTCTCTCTCTCTCTCTCTCTCTCTCTCTCTAATAAATAAATAAATAAATAAATAAGATCTTTAAAAAAAAAAGGAAAAATGGTAAGAACGGAGCAGGAATTCCACCCACTGCTCCAGTTTGCCAGGAATGGACCCATGTGAGCCCACACCTCAGAAAAGAACTCTTTCCAGGGTGACCTTATTTTCCCTCCCTGCTTGAAGAGAAGGTTAACACTCCTGCTTGTATTTGCACTTCTAAAGATAAACTAACACGCTCTCAATTCCAGGTAGAGTGTTGGCTCCTTTCCAGGACAGGTCCTGAAGGCCAGGGAGTCTGGGTAAATGGAGATAGATGTGTCTGGCCAAGGCTGCCAGGGTCTCCCGTCCTCTGAGTGATGGAGCCCAGCAGAGCACTTGCCCCCACCTTGTGGGCTGGTGGGGGGAGCCAGGCCAGCCCTGACTGTCTGCACCTAGTGGTGGCCGTTGCACTGTTTGCTCATCGCGATGCTACTCCTACCTGAACTTTCTCCTCTTATGTAAGGCATCCCTCAAGATAACTACAAAGCCATAATCTGCCATGGCTGGCTGGGTTTACATAATAAATTGGTTGGTGTCATGCAATCGCCTCTTGAGCCCTAGAGAAGCCAACATGCTGAGTGGGACTGAAGCTGGGGCCCATTTAGTGGAGCACTCTGTGTGCTCTGTGCACTCAAGGGAAGGCATTCCATGACCACAGGGGTCAAAAAGACGAAATTTCCCTTTTAGATGAAGACAGCAATAATGGCCCAGGACATGTTGTGCTGTTCCAATGCCTGCAATAACGGGACAAGGGTTAGGGCTTCACTGTAAGACCACAGCTTTGGCAGAGCAGGCCTTCCATAGAACCCTGTGGGCTAACGGAAGCTGCTTGAATCCAGAAGCCTAGATCCCAGCCTCAAAGCAGGTTTCACGAGGAGTCATGGCAGCGGCTTAGGGTGGCCACTGTCCACCATGCCGACCCTGAGCTGGGGGAAGGAGTTGGACTGGGACTAAGACAGGGGTCTGGAAGAGTAGAAAGCAAGCTTTTCCAAATGCTAATCGAGGCAGGAGAGACTATCAGAGCAAGGCAAATTCACTTGTACCTTCTAGCTGGAAATCCTGCCCCAAAGTGGCTGTTGCCCTTTTGGAAACGGTGTAAATGGGGTGAGATCCCAGCCTGCGTGGGAGACCAAATGGGAAGCCCCCCATGGCACAGACGCTAGCCCGAAGAGAAACAAGAGCTGGAAGCAGGCTTGGTCAGTGATGTTCCAGGCACACTGTCAGCCTTCCTCTTCTGGGAGCCACTTTCCTCAGATAGGCCAGCCTGAAATCAGGGCCCTGCTTGTGGACGGAACCCCACAGGGACCTTCCCCATCCTTCCTCGAAGGAAGAATCTACTCACGAAATAGCCTTGGGTATTCAACCCACTTCCTTTTGTCTTCTCTTCAGGGGAGATGGAGAGCAGCTGCTCACAGCTTAGGGGTCTGGCCGGGATTCCTGTCAGAGCAGTCTAGGCCGTTGGTTGGCTATGCCTGCTATCCCTGAGGAAGAAGGGGGTGAGAAGAAGGGAAGTGGCTCCAGCGGCTCCTTCCTGGCTTACCCACTGCCCCCCCCCCCCACCCTCCCTCACCTTGCTTAGCCTCACTCCCAGACTGGGCTGGGCCTAGGCCAGCCTGAGGGCCCTGACTCATTATCTCGCATAGTGCCTTATGTAACTGAGCCAGGTTGCCGAGGCACCAAGCTTCTGCTTGCTCAGTGGCAGGCTTCCCTGGGGCCAGGCATTCAGAAGCCTGCTTGGGGTCTACAGGACTCATCCTATTTCCAAAGGAAAAGCCTGCTGTCCCTATCACATCAGGCAAGCAGTGTGCTCAGAGGCAAGTACCAGGTTGCAAAGGTGATCCCCCCTGAGCCCCCACACTCAGCAGCACATGTAAGCAGGCAGGTGAGCTGCTGTGGACTTAGTGTGATTTGGGGCATTTGGCGGGGGTGGGGGTGGGGGGATATGGAGGGCGACTTCTTCTATCACCCGATCCTACACTGCTAAAGAGGCAGCCTGGTGCATCTGGAGGGGCCCTGTGACATGTCTTAGAAGTCCCTCTTCCTTTTGTATCTGCTTGTTGGTTCAGGGACTGCTCTGAGACCCCACGCAGAAGGGTTTACTACAAGCTGGAGGACCTTTTAAAAGAAGACCTATTCCCAGTCCATTCTCCATGAAGCCTCAAAGTCCCCAGGCTGGCCTGAACAATGACTCTTAGCTTTCTTCCTGGTCTGTTCTGAAAATTACATTACCTGGCTTGGTGCAACTGAGCCCCCAGCAAAGTCAGGCTTCCTGGATTCTCTGACATATTTCTCTAATTAAAGTTCATTTGACTATCTACAACACAGAGTAGGCCAATCAATCTAATACTTCCCTGGCTCTGAGTTTGTGACTAAACCAAGGGTTCCTCTTCTTCTTTTCCCTTGTCTTTGCCTGAGCCCATCATTGTGCTGCCAGTGGGTAAATGGCTCACAGGCTGAGGGTAGTTGGGGACACTGCTCTCCGGTTAGAGAAAAAGAGGAGGAAACAGGGAAACAAAGTAAAAAGAAAAGTGGTGTGGAAATTACCAGCAGACACGGTCGTATCCAGAGCTCAGACTCAGGAATCCTGACAGACTCCAGATCATCATCTCAAGGCTCAGGCAAGCTGGGCCCCGGAAGTCCCCCAGATCCCAGCCAGAATCTAGTCAATATTGGGGAGCCTGAGGTGGAGGTGCAGAATTTCCCTTTCTTGAGACCCCCTGGGCTTTGAGCCCCTCGCTCCTCCCTATCCTCCCTATCCTCCCTACCCTTCCAGTTCAGAGTCCATTGCAGTAAAAAAAAGAAGATGGACAGACAGACAAAGAAAAAGCCCTGCTCTGTCTGAAGGCAACATACTCTGCTAACCCAGGTGCACAGAGAAATGAATGATGGCAGCCCCTCATTGGGCCTTGGACTGAGTGACCAAGCGCTTCAGTCAATCAAGCCATCAGTTATTGACCAAGGGCCCACTGTTGCTCGAGCACCCGCTGGGGATTTATTGAGTGCCTACCCTGCCTAGCCCTGAAGAAGACAGGCAAGGTGGCAGAAGTCAGGATGGGGCCTCGGGAGCTAAGGGTGTAGCTGGAGGGGTGGAGAAGCTGTCCCCAAGGCCAGCAGGGAACAAAGGAGTTCCACTAAGGCAACTGCAGGTCCAGTAGGGACTCCTGCTCCTTGCGGGGAAAGGCCTTAAGCTTGCTGCGCCCTGGGTCCGCAGGTCTGGAACTTGGGCGTTGCCAAAGCAAACTAGGAAGGGAGAGTCTCTCCATGGATGCGGCTTCCAGCAGGGCCCTAAGAATGGGTTGGCTTTGGCATGGTGGGAAGCAGCTGCAGGGCTCTCTGGTTGAGACAGGGAAGGGGATCCTTGCCAGTTGAGCAGGGATCATGGGTAGGAAGGGGCTGGCCTGGAGTGGGGACAGAAGCCAAGAACACTTTCTATTCTTCCTGGATTGAAACCCGGCGTCACCAAGCTTCAGGAACTAGAGGAGGGCCCACTCTGGTCCTCCTCTCATTGCTCTTATTTGACTCTGGGCGAGCTGGCCCCTAGTCCCCTCTCCTTGGGGACCTAGGCTAGCCCTGGGTAGGTGAAGGCCTTTGGGGCCTGAGAGCAGGAAGGCACCTCGCTTTTCTGCCTGGAGAAAGCTCATGGGAACCAGGTGGGTTGAGCTTGGGAGGGCAGTCCAGGGTGGGCACCAGAGGTGCCTGAGGGGGGGGGCGGGGGGCTTCGTATCTCAGCACCCTTGGCCTTGATCTCCACCAGGCCCCTTCTGAGGTAGATCACAGGACCAGGGACAAGTCAGGGTGCTGCCATGAGAATATATACACAATTTTCCCAAATATCTTTGAACAAAAGTTGCTGGCAGCCCTGCAGAAGGCCATTTTAGCTTTGTTTGCACCTTACTCAAATCCTTCTTTCCCAGATGTCCTACCAGTGAAGGCCCTGGGGTAAGGCGAAGGAAGGAGGGAAGTCTCAAGCTGATAGGAGAGGGAGCTGGGGTAGCAAAAGGAGCCAGCCTCAAGTCACCTGGGGAAGGAAGTCACCTGACCATAGCAGCACTCTGCCCTTGCTTTCTGGGACCCTCTCCCCCAGCTAGTGTGCTGGGCACTCACACTCATACCCTTTCCCACCAGTGCTCTGGAGAATTCACATTTACACTCAGGAACGGATTCAGTCAACAAAACATACTTCTTGCACACCTTCCCTGGGTCAGGCTCAATGTTAGACACAGGGAATAGAACGGGGAAACTCACAAGAGGCATGGTCACAGCCATCATGGAACAATCAGCAGAGTGGGAGAGATAGACAGACATTAACCAGTCACACTAATGAATGTATAATTACACACTGAGTAAGTGCCAAGAGGGAAAAGGAACAAGCTTCTGTCAGAGAGTTTAACGAAGGATCAGACAAGGCTACCTGGGGAAGTAATATCTAAGCTAAAGAAATGCATCTCTAATACTGAAATCATCAGCCCTGGTCTCATTCCAATCAGCGGGACCAGGCCTAAGGAGACATTTTGGACAGAGGACTTGCTAAGGAGCCCCTGCAGTTGTACCATTAGGTAGCTCCTCACACCCTCGGAAATATCTCTAGGCCATGAGTGGCTGTCAGGTCCAAAAGAGGAGGACTAACAGCATTCTGACAAGAGGAAGAGATGAGTTTGAAGCCCACGGGGCGACTAGTACTTAATGTCATCCTTTGCTAAAAATAGTCCATGACAGTATGGAAATGTGTAAAGGCTGGTCCTGGGGACCGGTGATAAAGTGGGTATAGCCTGTGGGGAGGAAAATTTGGTTTTGTAAATTATTTACTGTAAAGAAAAAAGGAAGGGGAGGGTCGTCTGGATTTTCCTTTCTTTTTATGGGCCTCCTTCTGAGTTATGAATGCTTCTCGTTGTACAGAGGCAGTGGGACACAGAGCTTCAGGCTGCACTCCTTTCTGGAACCCAAGGTGTAAATTTTCTGGGCTGCAAATATCAGATATTCATCCAGGCTGAAAAACAACCTGAATGCAGAAGGGAAGGGAGGCTACACCTCGGAGAGGGGCAAAGAAATTGATCAGGGGCCTCCAAACAGCTTTCATTTGAGAGCGGCTGGTCCCCACCATAATGGCAAGGCGGGTGACAGCTGAGAGCTCAGCATGATCCAAGGGATTCTAATTGTGAAGGGTCTAGATAAGGCCAGCAAGACTTATTTAGCCAGCAGGAGATAAACCTGGGACTTCAGGGGGCTGTGGGGCCAGGCTAAAGGAACGAAGACGATAGATCTAAGAGGAGTTTAAGGGTGGAATGGAGGGTGGTGAAGAGAGAGAAGAGAGGTTGATCTTCAAGTATAAGAAAAGTCACAACTCAGAGATGGTGACTAGCTGCTTCCAAACCACACCAGGAACAGAACAAGAGGAAACAGGCCTCTACTGTAGCACGAAGAACTGAGATTAGATAATAGGAAGAACTTCCTGACAACAAGCATTCAGAGAAGCTAAATGAAAGTACCATGGCATGTTCTAATAATGTGTAAATGTGGGGAAGGTGGTGGCCGTAAAAATAAAGAACTGGATAAAAGTGTAAGAGGGCCAGTGATAAGGACCAGGGACAGGAGGCGACAGGCAGGCAAAGGAGGCAGAAGCAGGTGCTCCTGAGTCAGAACAAAGTGCGTGTGTGGTATATGGAAGTGTTTTCACAAAAATACTTTCATAATAAAAATGCCTGTGAAATTTCCACAGGAGGTCAGTCATTAAAGCTAGCACGCACTCTCCTGGGCTTGGGATGGGGTGGAGGAATGGACTCGGGAGCTGTTATCGGGGGAGCACTCCTGTGCTTGGGGGTATTGGAGGAAGACTGCCCACCCCAGCTACTTGTGGATGAAGACGATTCCTCCTTCCACGCACCCAAGGAAGATTAGACACTAGGGATACAGCAGCAGCCAACAAGCCAGGCAGGATCCCTGTGGCAGGTGACTTACAATCTAGTGCCGGTGACAGACATTAAATAATAATTACATAAATAACTGTACCGTTACAATTGACTGTAATGAAGGAAAGGTGCAGGAAGCCATGAGAACACAAGCTAAGGGGGCTCCCCCTAGGATTAGGAGATCTGCAAAAGGAAGTCACCTTGTTAAAACTCTGGGCATTGCGGGTATCCCTCGGTGAGCGATTCTTACTCCAAGTCAGTAGCGAGGAAAGGCAGAACAGCCCCAGTCACTAAGATGCCCTAAGATGTGGACTGTGGAGTTCATCTGGCTCACTGGGGCCTTCGTGGAGAAGCAAGCCCCTAAGGACATTTTCTCATTGCCTAGATCAAGCAGCCTTCATTTAGGTAGAGTGATTCTCTAAGGGCCATAATAGCCTATCAGCCGAAAATCAGGATCAGGAAGGCTTTGAAAAGCTCACTTGTCAGATGAAGAGGATGAAGGTCAATGAAGAGA